TGGAGGTTCACAAAGCAGGTATGGCTGAAGTGGTCAAGGGAGTTAGTGGTGCTGGCGGGAAGAGTTGAGATGCTGTAGCTTGGGGTCTGGAAAGGCTAGGGAAGGAAGAAGTCTGGTTGGGCGTACTGTCTGTCGGAAAGGGTAGGGGTGGGCCAGGCATTAGTAATTTTGAAAAGTCAAAGGAATAAAGGAGCAAGTATAGGAGTTCTGAGAATGGAATATGAGAGTTTGGGATCACAGAGTTCTGGATTGTGAAACAGCATAATGTGTAACCCTGGAGGCAAATGGCCAAAACTGAAAAGCAGTAAAAACTGTAAGCAACTGTGCCAAGACTGTGGAGTGGGTTTTCCTCAGATCACTGAAATCATCCAGTAGGATGGTGGAAACAGGAAGCTCAGTGCCAAAGACTGGGAGATCTGGGACGTTGACTACATCATGGCCACAGAGAATGGTAAAAGTAAAAATAACTTGATTCCATGAATTGTGGTAATGAGAGATTTCTGTATGAGGTAGGAAGAAGCAATCATGAGGAAACAAGTGGGAAATGAGAACATCATCTCTGCAATCTGTAGTCTGTGTAACAAGGGAGGAATGTGTAGCCTTCTGTAAGAACAGGGGTGCCCTCAGGTAAGCGTCAATTTTCGTGGGAGTCCAGGAAGTGGAAGCAACATTCAGGAAAAACACCAGGGGTGTGAGAAGAGAAGACTCCAGAGGAACTGTGGCATAGATTAGGAGTGAGGGCAACTGTGTGCTGCCAGTTGGGGGGCAGTGGGCATGGATACAGGAAAGAGAAACAGCTGAGTGGGGATCTGGGAGTATGGAGGAGAAAAGGCATTTAGGGAAGTAATGAGGGATGACAGGAGCAGGCCCGAATGGCATAAAGTTCTAAGAATATTGTTGCCAGAATGCTAGTGTTTTTATCCCTTTGGCAATGGCATTTCTCACTGCAAATATCACCAGATGGTAAGCCTCTGTTGCATGATTGTTTTTTCTAAGGGCCTGTGGTTTAGACCTGTTGAGGGCCCCTCTTTGTCTTTTTTGTGATAATATATACCAGGATTTTGCTGCTGTTGCTTTTTATTTTTTTTAAGATTTTATTTATTTGACAGAGATCACAAGTAGGCAGAGAAGCAGGCGGGGGTGGGGTGGTGGGAAGCAGGCTCCCCGCCGAGCAGAAAGCCTGATGCAGGGCTCCATCCCAGGACCCTGAGATCATGACCTGAGCTGAAGGCAGAGGCTTAACCCACTGAGCCACCCAGGCGCCCCAGGATTTTGCTTCTTAAACGTGACCATTAACATAATCATTTAAATGAGAGTAGTCCCCCTAAATTGGTTGACTCGAGTAATAGAAAATTTGAGTTCCCATCTATTAAGATGGACCCACACACATAACTCCCTAAGCTGCGGACTTTTGAGAAGCAGTAGGTTTTTTCTTCTTAGTTTTCATGACAATATCCATTGATTTACACTGGGTATCTTAGGTAATGTGTAGGATTATAACAGTAAGAGAAGTTACAAATATTTGACAGTAAGAGGTAAGTAAAAAAAACAAACTTACTGAAGCAATTCATCAGGACTTTGGCTGTGAGACCAAACCTTCAAGTAAAAACTAACATCAAACTAGAACAATGAGCCTGATGCATATAATCTACTTTTTCTAATACTGATTTTGGTGACCCCAGGTCCTCCTCTAGTTTATAGTGCCATCATAAGCATTATCATTTATATCATTTATTAGAATACATTTTTAAAGCATAACAATCTTTTAATTACACTTAAATGTCTATGGATAGGTTTAGTATTTATATTTTTTTAATCAATAGAAAAAATTTGATTATATCTTTGGAAACATTCGTCAAGCTCAACAAGCTGAAACCTTGTGGATTTCTAATAGACGCCTTTGAAAAAGTGCTTTACCTTGCAGAATTATAAGCCAGGAGTCGCCATGGCATTAAGTTATGGCAAAGCATTGTGAGCCATCCAGGAAAACGCATGGCTACACCCTGCATGGGTTTCTTACACTAAGCTACATCCTCCTTCATCCTCACAGAGAAGTGATTTTGCATTGCCCATGAACCTCAAGGCTGCTAAATGACCTACTGTGTGCCCGTCCATCCGTGGTGGCCCCCAGTTTTGTACTATCTGGACCAACACTGATCTCAGGCAATCACTCTTCTTCCATCTCCTATGCCTCTCCATGCTTGGAAAAGTGCCTGCTCCCTCTTCTGGCCTGACTTTGCTAGAGAAGGTGTTGACAAAGGAGGATACATCCTTTGTCATTCTACATTTTGAGCTGACCTGGAAGTGCCTAAAATCATTCTCCTGACATTTAACCCCAGGATTCATTTTGTCATCAGGACAAGCTGGGGTAGAATGTGGTCCTACTCAATCCTGGTGGAAACTGGACCTGTCCTGAACCTCTCCCACTCCAATTCCAGACCAATGAATCTTACATTCCCACTACATTTTCAGGCTTTGAAATGAGACCTGTGTAGACTAATGACTGTACCACCCAATTTTACTCAAATGTGATCAGCATGCTGAACGTTAGACACGAAAGTAACAGCTTATCTTGACCTATGACTTCATAACCAATACAAGTTAACCCATTTTGTGATTTCGGAAGTCTCTGAAACTCCCTCCCCAAGAGCAGGGAATGCTGGTATTACCTGGCTCATTAGCAGAGACCCAGCAGGACTTCAAAACTAAACCAAATCAGACCACACGCAACTTCAGAACTCTTTGTTCTTGATTACCACTCTCACATTTTTTAAGCAATCAGAGCAAAATTCTCAATGCCTAAGTGTCTCCCTAGTACCTTCTATTGGATTTGCAATTGTTTAATTTGATTAAAGTCAGTAGGCAACTTGAACACTATTAACAATCCTATTAAAAGATGCTAGTTGCTACATTTTTCCCTTTGAGCTTTCTTTTAGTAATGTAGTGGCTCTAAATCTTGCTCCTGTTTATGGACTGTTTCATTTGCTACCACCCCTCTCCCTTTTTTCATTAGACTCCAAGGATTTAAGAGTATTAAGGCACCCAGGGCAATATTACTAAGCTTTTGATAAATATTGAGGAGGATGATGCTTACATTTTTAACTTATACAGAGCCCAGAATTTTGACTTGGCCAATATTTTGAATTTTAGGGCTTAGATCAAGCTGTCTTAATGGGGTTTTTGATCAGTTTTCTTCACATTCCATCTGAAGCAAAGAATAAAAACCAAACTCCTCTATCTGGTCCATTTTGGTAAAAAAAAAAAAAAAAGAGGGAAAAATAGTTGGCCTAAGGCCCATTTTGCCAATAAATACAGATTATTATCTTCTTTAGCAACCACTAACACTGAAAGAAAACTTTAGGAGATGGATGCATTTTATTTCAAATTTAACATTTAAAATCAGCCATCCCCATTTTGAGGACTGGTAACTGGTTTGAAGGAGCACTTGGGAGAATTTGATTTTGCAGCCCTTTCTAGAGCACCATGCAGATCCACCTAAAAACATCGCCCTTGTCCTGTCCGCTGTCTGGATGGAAGCAGGCAATTTGATTTCCATCCAGCCATTCTCAGGGGGCTCTTTTTTCAGTCCCAAATGAATGACCAAACAGGTAATCTTGGGGCATTTGAGGGAACAATTTCAGGAGAGGAAATCTGAGTTCTCTTTGCCATGAAATGGAATTTCCTCGGCGTCGGGTTAGCCCCAGCCCACAGGAAGCTGAATGAATGTGTTTGTGACAGTTGACAGGCTGGGCTGTATTGAAGAAGTCCACACTTTAGCCGTGGGACACTGATCAAGAAGGTGAGTCAGCTTCCACAGCTTTCCGGATTCACTGGCTTAGGAAAACTCAGAATAGAGACTATCTCCAGACAGTTGTCATTGGGTCTTATGACAGCATCCACACACCCACACTCCTGAAGATGATGCTACAAACAAAAGACGTCAGTCTATGGGGCATGGCAGCCATTTAACAATCTGCCTAGGAGCCTCGGGCAGAACTTATGCATTAAGGTGTACTTAGTGGCTTCTCAGTCTATCCCCGAATAAAACATATCCTCTAAGCGTTACAAACAAAAATTCAAAATAATCATAAAATAGTTTAAATATTTCATTATGTGGCTCAGAGTTCTGATGGTGAAGCAAAGTCCAGTTCCTTTCCTCTCTCACATTCTAACTGGAACATGGTCTTTATCAAAGCACAGACACCACAGTGCACTGCGATTGGGATAAAGCCTATCTGCCCACATTTTCTGATAAGGCAGGAATGTACTTTTCAAATCTCCTGAACATGGCCTTTCTCATCTGTCACCACTATATTTCTTCACCTTGCTTGCCCAGAAGGGAAAATGCCATACCCCAGCACTTTTTTTTTACAGGTTGACATCCCATTGGCTGGACCCATTGGTCCAGGGTCTCGCTCACCTAATGAGAAGGCAAGACACTGAACCTATTAACTGCTCCCCTTGCTCATTCACCTCAGTGCCCTCTGAAAGGAGAACTTGTCAGCTGGCCTCCCAGTTACCCCTGAAACAGACACTGGCTTAAAAGGTTCAGCACAAGGTTTCAAAACTGTAAGGTTTATCAGGGAGGAAGGGAGAGAGGAATATGGATCTGTTGCAGGGCTCCACCTCCAATTCTCCCTGGATGAGGTAACTTCAGTTCAGCCCCTACCCATCCCACCGGTGGCCTGGATTGTGAGGTCTGCTGAGAGGTACTGCTAGCCCCTAGAGAAATTTCTGCAATGACAGAGCTTGTGGACAGAGTTCAGCCAGACTTGAACCTGAAAAGATGTGCACAGAGCTAGAACAGGTCTGTTTTAATTTCTTTCTAAATAAAATTGTTGTGTTAGAAGGTTTGAAACCATTGATACCCTAATGGGTTTTGCCTTGAGAAGGGCTCCTGTGAATCCCTTTTTGGGGGAGCACCAAAAATCTACCAGTAGGTTCTATTAGTTCTCCTTCCTCTTACCAGCTGAAAAAGAAAGAAGCACTGAGGTTCTAAATAATTGAAATAAAATCACATTGGTTTATTGCTTCTGCTTGCATGTAGACAGGAGAATGGCCTAGGGTGGGTAATGGATGGGGGGGGAGGTTATGGGATGGAGGAAAGGTGCCTCAACTCTGCTCTGAGTAATGGAAGGAGAGGGAGAAAGGGAGGTACCCACTGGCTAAAATGAAATACATGTTCCAAAGGGCATTTCTCCCCAAGTGACAGAGATGGCCACCCTGTTGGGGCTCCCTCCTTATCCTCTCCTGTACTCCCAGCCTAGTGTGGAAGGACAGGGAACCTGAGCTAGAAGTGTTTTCTACTAATGCCCCATCAATTTAAACACACTGACTTTGGAGCATAGTTCTACCTATGCGTGAGGTTGTTCTCTACGATGATATCCTTTCTGTGGACTCTGATGGAAAGAACACAGATCACTTCACTGTTGCATACCTAAGTGAAAATTCAGCACATCTCATTGACGTAACCTTCAGCTCAGCCCCCAGTCTGCCCAACCACTAGATTTATACATCAGAGGTCAGGAGAATGGCAGAGTCCCCCCAAAATAACAAAAGCCACAGCCAGGTAGTCCTCTTAGATTTTGCCATAGAATTTGCTCTTGTGTATAGATTCTGATTTTCTACGCTGATACATGCAACCATCTCCCACAAGTCTGCAGAGGTTCCAGGGAAAGAGCATGGGCACCTTTACCCTGTTGGATCTGTAAGTGTACATTAGTTTGCATCCAAATCTACTTCTGTTTTGGAGTGTACATGTGTACAAAGCTTATCAGAAAACTGGTCTAAAAGAACGCATGCTTTAAGGAGCATTAAAAAGCGTGAAGGAAAGAGGAGGCCTTCCAACCTCAATAGCAACATTTTCCAACACAGGCAAAGAATTTCTCTTTCTTTCAAAAAATGTTATTTTAGCCAACTCTCAACAGTAATAGGTAATGACAGTGTGGGAGAAACACAACTCAGAAACAACCCGAAATCTCATTGGAAGAAAGCATTTCAGCTTCTTCCTTTACCTGACCTTTTCCCACCTGCTGTTAAGGACTGATCTAAATTTCATTTCTTGGTCCTTCCCTTGACCTCTCTTCTGGAAAATGGACTAATTAATAAATGGTCAAAAAGCTGAAGAAAGAAAAGAGGCCAAAATAAGTCCAAACTTGGATAACCTATGCCTGGAATAATGGAAAGTTGGCCCTGTAATAACTTCCAGATGATGAGTCATGACTTTTTTTTCGGACACCAGTAGGTGAACTGATGTCATTCTATTTGCCTCCCACTTCTTCCATCCAGAATCACTGACCTCCTCTGGGGCTGGTAAAAACAGCTGGTTGAGGTCTCTAGTCTTTGGCCATTCTTAGGGATGGTCATTTTATTCCTAAGCGTAACCCCTTCTGGTGTGACCCACGTGTTTTCTGCCAAATCCCCACAAAGAAGGCCAGGGGAAACTGTCTGGGTGGGACTTCTGATAGGGGACAGGAGAACCTTGGAATCTGTCACTGTGGAGGAAGGGGGTGGGTGGTCCATAATGGGGAAAGGAGGACTGAATAAGATAAGGCTCTGAGGTCTTCCTGGCCTTGACCTGTGGAAAGGTTTAGAACCCCCTGATGGTCGCTCTATTTTTGAAGAAAGAAGGTTGTCTCCGGAAGGCTCTGTCTCTGATGTACGCTTTCTGCATTGCACTGTTGCATCCTGGGTGGAGAGCAGGTTAGCCAAGACTGGTTCTGGAGGAAGGATGGGTCCCTCGCACATGTGGGATGTAGTGGTATCCATTGGCGAGGCCTCAGTGGCTCCCGTATCTTGCTTTGGCTTCTCTTCTTTTGGGCTTTCCAAGGAGAGAGAATCATCTCTGGCAGATTTCTTTGAGGTCCCACCAGTTGAGCTGGGTTCTTCCTGGCTCCTCTCCAGAGGCTGAACTCCAGTGTCCCCTGAGCTCTGAGATGGCAGGGGCTGTGGGATCTGTGTGTACTGAATCTTGGGTGGGATGACTGGGACTGCCCTAGCCTGGCACATTTTGACCATGAAGGAGGTTCTCACAGCTGACACACTCACAGGAGCTGAGTTACGGCGGCCCGTCAGGGCATGAGCCACAATGTCCAGGTCCTGAGGGTCCTGGGAGCAAATACTCCACGGGTCTACTTTACAGTGAGATGAGGTCATCCATGCAACTTTTGTGTCTCCTGGCTCAGAGAGCTGCATTCCAGGTGAACCAAATGAGGCCACATTGTCAAACCGAAAGAGGTCAGCGATGGGAACGGCAGAGTCCAAATTGAGGGAAGAAGGCCTATTTTTCCCTTTTGGATGCCCAGACTCAGTGCTCTTCAGCTGTAACTTTGGGGGATGCTCTCCACATGAGGCATTGTCTTGCACACCAGGAGAACTCTCTTTGCTGTTGTCTGGCCCAGGAACACTACCTTGCTCAATCTGAGGGCTGCTGTCCCCTTGGTGTGTCCCCAGTTCCTTTCCCTCTGCTAGGCTGCCAGGGCTGATTTCTGCTGATTTGGGCTGCAAACCACCTGGTCCCTTCTGGCTGGGAGCAGCCTCTGTCCCTCTGTCCCCAGAGAACTCTCTAAAGGACTTCAGGGTTTTCTCATCCCATCCAGTAATCTCTCTCCTGGGGGCCAGGGGCTGCAGAAGGTCGGAATTCCTCTCTGCTTCAAGGTTAGCACAGCTGCTGGAGGAGGGAGCCTCAAGAGTCCACTGGCTCTTAACCGTGGTTGTTTTGCTATCTAGAGAATGGCTCTGACGAAGGCTGGGCCTGTGGGGAAGCCTCCTCTCCAGTCGGTGGCCCTGGGGGCCCTGCAGCTGGGCCTCCTGCACATCTTTCAGGGTGGGAGAGTGAAGGGGACTCGTTACCCACTGGGGCTCCTCCCAGGGCTCCACCATCTCCAGGCCATGCTGGGCAATGTCTGTCACAGTTTCGTCTTCATCACAGTCTGAGGGCTCCTGCACTGAATGGGCTACATCCCCCTCTCCTTGTGGGGAGATCTCAACCTCGCTTGTTGGATTTTGAAAACCAGAGCCTTTTCCCTCACGAGCAGCATTCTTTGAATTTTGCTTTTCACTTTGTCCTAGAGAGGGCTCCTCCTCCTGACACAGGCTGGGGGTCCCAGGGCTGCCATTAGACTTCAGCTGGTCTGGGTATGGATTTGTCCTCAAACTCCTAGATGAGTTTTCTCTCTCAGGACTGCCCTTCGATAGCTGGACCCGAGGCGCCTCCTCCAGAGGAGTTGGAGGAGGCGCAGCAGGCGGGAGAGGAGGCGACAGATTCCCTGTGCCTTCCTGGCCCACCTTTGTTTGTAAAGAAGCCGTTTCAAATGGAACTATTTCCAGAGGAGCTAAGCTGATGGGGTCCGGACGCGGGCCCTTCTCTGTCTCGGGTCTGAGGAGGACGCTCGTCGTCTCTAGCTTTTCTCTATTGGCTGCAGGGGAAGTCCCCTGTGCCGTCTGATTGGCTGGATCCCTAGTCCACTCCTCCAGAGGGGTGGAGCCTGGTGGTCGGCCACAAGACAAGCTCCCAGGAGGCTCCTGGGAAGCAAAAGCCGCCAGACTGGCTTCCAGGATTGGCTGAGTGGGGCTGATCTTTAGGGCAGGTGCTGGCAATGAGGAGAGCTCCTCCTCAGATTCGATGATCTTCAGCTCCTGTTGAATCTCAGGCCAGATCAGGGCATTGGCCAGGTCATCCTCATCCTGAAAAATATCAAGGAACGGATTATTTTAGAGCCAAGGACTCGTGGCCTTGACAACTACACTATTTTCCCAATGACAGTGAAGGGCTTTGCGCTGGGCCAAGCTGCACTATCCCAGCTACCGCATTACTAATCACTGTGGCTGTTTATCCAGGGCTTACCGCGTGCCATAACACATTCTAACTGCATGTTCTTGTTTAATTGTCCCACAGATAAATACTACTATAACTACTCCCATTTTAGAGGTGAGGATACCTATGTTCAAACAGATTAAACAATTTACCTAAGTCACACAGCAGCAGCCCAGGACCAAAATCCAGCTATGTCCACACCAGAACAGAACACTTAATCCCTGTGCACTGTTGATTTATAAAACAAACCAACCCCTAGTCTCAGTTAACCTCAGGTTTACCAGATGGCACACAAGAATGTGATTCTCCCTGTGGAATGTAAATGTTAACTCTTGCCCTGATATCTGCTTTCCAAATAAATAAATAAATAAATAAAGCTTTTCTTATTACCAAAGAAATACATATATTACATGGAAAAAAAATTGAGACATGTTAAAAGAAAGGAGAATACAAAAACAGCAAAATCTTATATTCCAACTACCTACAGATAACCATTGTGGATCTAAAGAGGTGCCTCCTACTGGGTATTCAGCCCAAAGATACAGATGGAGTGTAAAGAAAGTGCCAAGAAGGTGCCATTTGCAGGCCAATGTTCCTAGCAGCAACATCCACAATAGCCAAACTGTGAAAAGAGCCAAGATGCCCTTCAACAGATGAATGGATAAAGAAGATATGGTCCATATATAAATGGAATATTACTCAGCCATCAGAAAGATTAATACCCAACTTTTGTATCAACATGGACGGGACTGGAGGAGATTATGCTGAGTGAAGTAAGTCAAACAGAGAAAGTCAATTATCGTGTAGTTTCACTTATTTGTAGAATATAAGGAATAGCATGGAGGACATCAGGAGAAGGAAGGGAAAAATGAAGGGGGGGGAATTGGAGGGGGAGACGAACCATGAGAGACTATGGACTCCGAGAAGCAAAATGAGGGTTTTAGAGGGGATGGGGGTAGGAGGAATAGGTTGACCCGGTGATGGGTATTAAGGAGGGCACGCACTGCATGGAGCACTGGGTGTTATATGTAAACAATGAATCTTGGAACACTACACCAAAAACTAATGATGTACTAACATAACATAATAAAAAATAATAATACTTAAAAACAAGCAAACAAAGGTGTGCCTCCTCCTCCATCTTGTTTGCCACCCCTTGTCTCTCCTCAAGTCTAGTTTCTCTTTGACTCCTCCCTTCCCCTACACAAAGTCTCAAACTGCAGATAGGAAAGGGATGAAGAAAGGCCCAGTAAGGGCCAGGGAAACAAATTTCAGTGGCCTTCATTTCTTGTCTCAAGACACATCTGTCAAAAATAAAATAAAATAAAAATTTAAAAAAAAAAAAAGACATCTGTCACCAGGAGAAGCAGTTTCAGGAGGCAAATCCATCCTGGGGTGGGGGAGGGGGTGGAGTTCAGCTGGGGTTCTTTATGAGGAACCTGACCTGCTGTCAACCAGACATCACTTCCCACCAGGCTCTGATCACATGTTTTATATTACAATTAATTTGATGTTTATCTTTCTCAATGGACTATGAGCTCCTTGAAGTAAGGAATTTGGTTTGTTCATCTTTGATTCCTCAAGGCCAAATGTTGCCTGGTATACTGTGAATAATTGCTCAATAAGAGGGTTTTTTTTTTCACTATTCCAAAATTCATTGTTTATGCACCACATCCCTGTGCTCCATGCAATATGTGCCCTCCATAATACCAACCACCAGGCTCACCCAACCCCTAAGTCCCCTCCCCTCCAAAAGCCTCAGTTTGTTTCTCAGAGTTCACAGTCTCTCAAGGTTGGTCTCCCCCTCCGATTTCCCCCAACTCACTTCTCCTCTCCATCTCCCAGTGTCCTCCGTGTTATTCCTTATGCTCCACGAAGTAAGTGAAACCATATGATAACTTTCTCTGCTTGACTTATTTCACTTAGCATAATCTCCTCCAGTCTCGTCCATGTTGACGCAAAAGTTGGGTAGTCATCCTTTCTGATGGAGGCATAATACTCCATTGTATATATGGACCATATCTTCTTTATCCATTCATCCATTGAAGGGCATCTTGGTTCTTTCCACAGTTTGGCGACTGTAGCCATTGCTGCTATGAACATTGGGGTACAGATGGCCCTTCTTTTCACTACATCTGTATCTTTTGGGTAAATAACCAGTAATGCAATTGCAGGGTCATAGGGTAGCTCTATTTTAAATTTCTTAAGGAATCACCACACTGTTTTCCAAAGTGGCTGCACCAACTTGCATTTCCACCAACAGTGTAAGAGGGTTCCCCTTTCTCCACATCCTCTCCAATATTTGTTTACTGTCTTGTTGATTTTAGCCATTCTGACTTGTGTAAGGTAGTATCTCAGTGTGGTTTTGATTTGAATCTCCCTGATGGTTAATGATAATGAACATTTTTTCATGTGTCTGTTAGCCATTTGTATGTCTTCTTTGGAGAAGTGTCTGTTCATGTCTTCTGCCCATTTTTTGACATGATTATTATCTGTTTTGTGTCTGTTGAGTTTGAGGAGTTCTTTATGGATCTTGGATATCAGCCCTTTGTCTGTATTGTCATTTGTGAATATCTTCTCCCATTCCGTGGGTTGCCTCTTTGTTTTGTTAACTGTTTCCTTTGCTATGCAGAAGGTTTTGATCTTGACGAAGTCCCAAAAGTTCATTTTTGCTTTTGTTTCCTTTGCCCTTGGAGACATATCTTGAAAGAAGTTGCCGTGGCCAATGTCGAAGAAGTTAGTGCCTATGGTCTCCTCTAGGATTTTGATAGATTCACGCCTCACGTTGAGGTCTTTTATCTATTTCTTTTTTTTTTTTTTAAAGATTTTATTTATTTATTTGACAGACAGAGATCACAAGTAGGCAGAGAGGCAGGCAGAGAGAAAGAGGAGGAAGCAGGCTCCCCACGGAGCAGAGAGCTGGATGCGGGGCTCGATCCCAGGACCCTGGGATCATGACCTGAGCCGAAGGCAGAGGCTTAACCCACTGAGCCACCCAGGCACCCCGTCTTTTATCTATTTCAAGTTTATCTTTGTGTATGGTGTAAGAGAATGGTCAAGTTTCATTCCTCTACACATTGCTGTCCAATTTTCCCAGCACAATTTATTGAAGTGACTGTCTTTTTTCCATTGTATATTTTTTCCTGCTTTGTCGAAGATTATTTGACCATAGAGTTGAGGGTCCATGTCCGGGTATTCTGCTCTGTTCCACTGGTCTATGTGTCTGTTTTTGTGCCAGTATCATGCTGTCTTGGTAATCACAGCTTTGTAGTAAAGCTTGAAATAAGGCAATGTGATGCCCCCAGTTTTATTTTTCTTTTTCAACATTTCCTTAGCAATTTGGGGTCTCCTCTGGTTCCATATAAATTTTAGGATTGTTTGTTCCAGCTCTTTGAAAAATGCTTGTGGAATTTTGATTGGGATGGCATTGAAAGTATAGATTGCTCTGGGCAGTACAGACATTTTAATGATGTTTATTCTTCCAATCCATGAGCATGGAATCCTCTTCCATCTTTTGGTGACTTCTTCAATTTCTTTCATGAGTGTTCTGTAGTTCCTTGAGTACAGATCCTTTACCTCTTTGGTTAGGTTTATTCCCAGGTATCTTATGGTTCTTGGTGCTATAGTAAATGGAATCGATTCTCTAATTTCCCTTTCTATATTTCATTGTTAGTGTATAAGAAAGCAACTGATTTCTGTACATTGATTTTGTATCGTTGATTTTGCCACAATACTGAATTGCTATATGAGTTCTAGTATTTTGCGGGCGGAGTCTTTTGGGTTTTCCATATAAAGTATCATGTCATCTACGAAGATAGAGAATTTGACTTCTTCTTTGCCAATTTGAATACGTTCTTTCTTTTTTGTTGTCTGATTGCTGGTGCTAGGACTTCTAGTACTATGTTGAACAACAGTGGCAAGAGTGGACATCCTTGTTTCTAATCTCAAAGGGAAGGCTGTCAGCTTTTCTCCATTGAGGATGATATTCGCTGTGGGTTTTTCATAGATAGATTTTATGAAGTTGAGGAATGTTCCCTCTATCCCTATACTTTGAATAGTTTTAATCAGGAATGGTTGTGGTATCTTGTCAAATGCTTTTTCTGCATCAGTTGAGAGGACCATGTGGTTCTTCTCTCTTCTCTTATTGATTTGTTCTATCACATTGATTGATTTGCAAATGTTGAACCACCCTTGCATCCCATGGATAAATCCCACCTGGTCATGGTGGATCATCTTTTTAATGTACTGTTGGATCCTATTAGCTAGGATCTTGTTGAGAATCTTGGCATCCATATTCATCAGGGATATTGGTCTGAAATTCTCCTTTTTGGTGTGGTCTTTGCCTGGTTTGGGGATCAGGGTAATGCTGGCTTCATAAAAAGAGTCTGGAAGTTTCCCTTCTGTTTCTATTTTTTTGAAACAGCTTCAGGAGAATAGTTATTATTTCTTCTTTAAATGTTTGGTAGAATTCTCCAGGGAATCTGTCATATCCTGGGCTATTGTTTTTTGGGAGGTTTTTGGTCACTGCTTCAATCTCGTTACTAGATATTGCTCTATTCAGGTTGTCAATTTCTTCCTGATTCAGTTTTGGAAGCTTATAGGTTTCCAGGAATACAACCATTTCATCTAGGTTGCTTAACTTATTGGCATATGACTGTTGATAATAATTTCTGATGATTGTTTCTATTCCTTGGTGTCAGTTGTGATCTCTCCCTTTTCATTCATAATTTTATTAATTTTGGGTCTTCTCTCTTTTCTTCTGGATTATTTTGGCCAATGGTTTATCGATCTTATTGATTCTTTCAGAAAACCACCTTCTAGTTTTGTTGATGTATCTACTGTATCTCTAGTTTCTATCTCATTGATCTCT